TTTTGATTTTAGATCTATTTTTTTCACGTATAGACTGTAATTTATACATGCAACAAATAATTAAATTTAAAAAACTGATATCTTGAAAATTAATTTTTTTCAACTTGAACTGCTTTTTCTCCTAAATGACTTCTCAATCATGCGTATAAATGTAGAGAAATGAAAATAAAGTTTGTTTATATTTATAACATTTATAAATTCTTAAATAATATCTTAATTACAATATTAATATCTTAATACAATAAATTAAATTAATAATTGTTTATATCTAATCTGATACAGTTACTACTTAAAAATATAGATTTATATCATGCTCCTGTATCGCATGATATATTTTTTGTACTAAAACAGTCGATGCGTTAAATATAATGCTCAGTTTAATGATATCATGATTTTATAGCGTTGTGGGGGAAATGCAGTGTATCGCTTTCATAATGCGATGGTTACCCAATATTTCATATATTTATGGCTTTTCCGGACAATACGATTACAGTGTGTTGTAGTGCGAAAACGCAATTCTAAAGTAATGACACACATTGTGTCTCTGGCTCGGCACTATTTATATGCAAAACTCCAACTTTCTATGCAAATTCATTTGCTGCAACATTTCCATTTGCGCATAGACGCAGTTCCGGATTAAAATGTTTCCTAGTTAGCTTTCATGGTGCAGCTTGAATACATAATAATGTAATTTGTTGTTCGATCAACTAAACATATTAATTCATATTATTATTATTTGTGAATTCTCGTGTATATGCAGTAATTTATATTATTACAATAATCTATATTATTTCATAGATGCAAAAACCTTCTCTTTTCACGAGAAACTTGACTAAAACGAATGCGCATCTCTATTTCGCACGTGATCGATTATACTCGACAAATCAAAAACGATTCGTCGGGAAGCGAAAGATTGATCAGCTTATTGCGAAAATAGTAGGAAATGGTGCTGACCTTTCGCTTGACTGTTGAAATGGCGCGAATCCAACTCTGGACATGAACAGTGACCCGGTGCCCGATCAATATTACAACCCTGTAACTGCCATCCTTCGGGGAGACGAGTCCGCTATTACCGTTATCGCGTCGTCTCATCCGGAATACTTCTTATGTGTTTCTTTTTTTTTTTTTGTTCTTCATCGAGACATCGCGGACCCGCTCGCGTCCATGCGTCGACGAACGATGGGCGAAAGAGACGGCGAAACGCGTTGTCAGCGACGGAAACAGGGGGGGGGAGGGGGAGAGTGTCCCCTATTCCACCATCGAATTAAGTGCCGGGCGCTTCGTCGATCGAAAAGATATAGCACACGTGACCGGTGGCGCGATCAATAGCTGCTACATTCCTGCGATTGTCGGCGCTTTTTGCTACCGCTCGTCTCATTGCGCCCGATTCCTTTTTCTCCCGCGTTGGGGGAAGAGGGCCCTTCAAAGCGTTGCCTTTAAACCCCACGCGCTTTGTTTACGAGGTGGCGTTTGTCGGTTACTAATTGAGCGGTCCGTTTCCGGAACGACGCGACACATACACACGAGCACGCTCGTTCTTGCCCACGGCCGTCAGTCGCTCTGAGGGACGGATGGCCGAACTGATGTACTGCGGTGTAATCGTTAACAAAGTTTGTTATTTGTTCCGTAGGGTGGCATGAAAAATGGATCGAACCCCGGGGTGTCTCGATTTGTTGGGCCGCCGTAAAAACTAACAAACTCTCGCTCGCGCAAAGGCCGGGCAAAAAGGGTTCCTCTTTGGTTCGGTAGACAACGGGGGGACGGGTTTTTTAACGCGAATTTTATCGGCTGGCTGCGGCTTTCGATAACTAAATAAACAAGTTTATAGTGTGTGACGCTATAGCCGATTAATCAAACTGAGTTGTTTGATATATAATCGGAAATATTATTAATAACTCGTTTTGTTTTATGTTGTTACGTATATCAATAAAAATTTTTATTGTCACTGGATAAGCTGATAATATGACTGAATTTTTCTATTATTTATATATGACTGTTTATATCTTTAATTTGCAATTGAAGAAGCCTGATACACTATAAAATTCAAGTTACATGAGGGTTCTATTCAAATTTGTTTGAAGGGCAAGATCAGACACCGTAGAGAAAAGGTAGAAACAATTTTATCCCACATGCGATATCAGATCCAATATGTGAAGATGGAGTTAAATCCATTTACGGTGAGCACGCAAACAAGCTAGGAACTTCATCAAACTGCTGCGACTACCGACTAACAATTTGCCTTAATAAACACTTGCATTATCCTGCAGCAGGAGATTGTCTCCATTTCCATGTAAATAATTCACTTCGATCAAAGGCGAGGCTATCTGGTTCTTGCAGGCGGGTCTTCATTTGGCTCGGTCGTCGTAACGTATATACCAAAACCTGTGTGCTTGTAAAGCTCTTTGGTCCCCGGTGGCCTTACCGCCGTTCGCGACAATAGTGGCCCGAAAATTACGCCCGCTTGTGTTAACTGTTTGCCAGCCGAAAGATAAAGCGAGTGGTACCGGCGATTCCAGCAATCGATACCACGTTCCTGCAGTTCTCCCACACATGCACATTCTTGTTCCGCCTCGGGGATGTTTTTGTCCTATGATATTTCCACTAGCGATCCTCTTTCTCTTTCTCTTTTTCTCTAACGACAAATTTATATAACACACTACGGGAAAGATATATGTAATAGCTTCCTTTTATTTTCGACTCTTTTTGTCGTAAAAATATTTCGCGAATTTTTCGCAACCACCAAACACGTATAGTAATTTTTAAGAAAATATGCTACTGCTACTATCTCTCTTTTTATATATGTATGTATATTTAACTTTAATGTATTTACCGAGCAAGTGTTTCTAAGGCAACACCCTAGATACGGTGGTAATATAGGCAAGTAGGGTCAACGTTCGAATCGAAGGTCGAAATTCCGGCGGGGACAATAAAGAGATGAAAATTATGTGACCGCGCCTGTTTACCCGCAAAAAGGTGAAGCGCTCTGGATAGAGAAATCGATAATTCGTACTTCTATATTCGTGCGCATCGTGTTACTCGACTTATTTATTATGTAATGCCTCGCCTTCATACTTTCTCGGATCAGTACACACATAAATATTTCGGGCTAATGTGTGCCCGCATACATTATAGGTGAATAACGTTATTAAAATTCGGGAGAAGAAGCTATATAATTTTATAATACACATATGTCTGCGCGTATCATTTTACTCGTGGCACGAAAATATCTCGCGATGGTTAACGTCGTTGGATGGATACGGGTAATGTAAACATATAGTGAATGGGGTAGAAATCAAATTACTGTTATCAGTTTAAGCCATCGCGTATAATGGCGTATGGCGGCTACTGCTTGGAACTTTGAGTTTGATGTTGAAGTGCTTCCCCGGTTCTCTATCAGCGTCACGATCGAGTTCGTAATTTCGCATTCCGGGCGACGTTCTCTTTAGCTTGAATTGCCGGAATCCGTAACCGATAGCAGACGAATCCCGGGGGAGACGACGACAACGGCAACGACGACTACGACTACGACGACGACGACGACGATGACGAAAACGACTGCTGCTTTTCATACGCACGCGGAAAGTTTTGCGACAATACGGCGTTACGGGAAGTATTTTAACCGGTCGCGTCAGAAGAATCACGGCAAGCACGTGGGCTCGGGGAAGTTTCCTCGCATTGTAAACGAGAAATCGTCTGCTATATAGCGCCGCTAACTCCGTAACTACCGACTCGTTTTTCAAGCCCCTCGTTAATCCACAGACTAGTACGACCAACTCCGTAATTGCAGTCGCAGTGTATTACCGGCGGAAATATTTTCTTTAATTGAATACGTCGTATAAGAAAGCTGGGACTTAAACAAGCTCGTGATGCAATTAAAGGGAGAATACCCATCCACGAGACAATGTATTATTTTCTGTTATTTTTGCAAGATTTATTCCTAGATGTACCAATTGTAATGATAATTGAGTTGTGTGATGATGATGCTTCGACAGTTTACACAATCTTATTCTCAAAATATTTCTCATCTTGGTTATATAATTGAATAAACTTCTTTTTGTTTAATATTTAATAAGAACAAAGCTTTAAAATGATGATGATGTTTGAATAGATAAGATATTGACAGCCATTAAATATTTGTTAAGACGTTTTTGTTTTAATCATCAGCATTAGAAATTATACAAACATACTACATCTTTTTACTACATCATTTATTTATTGACAGTTACAGGAATATATTTTAATCTTCTAGATACGCCAATGTAACAGCATGCCATATAACAGCCGTAATTGTTATCCTCTGGCTGCTCGCCGTGATTGCGGTAGTCTTACAATCAACCTTCGACGTGGGTCCTGACTTTTGTCGTCGCAGGCTCGACGGCATCGCAATGGAGCAAGTGGTGGGTGCGAGTCTGCTGGTCGGAGTGCCTGCTCTGATAACGATTTTCTTCTACGTGAAGCTGGTGATGCGCGTGCGACGTGCCACGCGGACGTACAAACCTCCGGCCGCCTTCTCCTGGGACTACGAGCTTACCAAGACGAACATGTGCAGCTGCGTAATGTTCGCCGTGTTCTGGCTGCCGTTCGGTTTGGCGGTCTGCGTGAATTCCTTCAGGCCGATCAGCATCCCTGTGCTCTACAATCTGGCCTGGTTCGCTCTGTCCAAGTCCTGCTTCAACAATCTACTCTATTGCGTGGCGGACCGCCACTTTCGCAGCGCTTACGTCAAGCTCTTCCACTACTGCTGTTGCAAGACCACGGTGAGCTTTTCAAGGAGGCCGCGCGGCGGCGAGGGCGGCAGAAATTCCAGCGATGTGCGTCTTAGAGTGCATATTATTCACTCGTACGCGAGTCCGTCGTCCTGTCGGCCGGCTGTGGCCAGAGCGAACGGACGTGACGTCTACGAGCTCTAGACGCGACGCAACGCACGTGCAGGACGCACAAAACAGGATGATAAAGATATCCTCGTTACCATCTGTCTGGACCCGCTTTGCTGCGCAATGAGAGTCCATTCTTGCGAGATGAGGCAATCATTGTGTCGACGCACAAACGACATCGCACCGGGACTGTCTCCGGTATGTCCTTACAGGGAGAATTAATTGGTCTCTCAATTCTTACGGTTCGTTCTTCGATAACAGCTGAATTATTTTTGCGTCGAATGAAGTTCTTCCCGTTTTTACAAGGATGTCAAGCACAAGTACCTTTTGAGACAGAGGTAATTAATTTCGGTGCAATTGAAGATGTTGACGTTATTATATAAATCTGAATTAGTAGGGATTATATCAGGTCTACCGGAAAGTTCTGTCCGTTTTTGGAATAAAACAAAATACAAATTTTTATTACCGTCAATAAACTTTATTAAATAATGTAATTTCCATTATTATTAATGATTTCTTGCCAGCGTGAGGGCAATTTGTATATCCCATTTTCGAAAAATGTTTTATCTTTTGATGCGAACCAGTGCTTGTTTGATATCTTGTTCCTTTTTGAATTTTTTGCCCCTCAAAAAATTTTGTAGGGACAAAAACAAGTGATAGTCGGAGGGTGCTAAGTCCGGGGAATATGGTGGATGCGACAGAATTTCCCAGCCTAGTTCTGCACTTTTTTGACGAGTCCCCAAAGCAGCATGTGGCCTGGCATTATCATGATGCGGTATGATGTTCTTCCTATTGAACATCGGCGGCCTCTTTTCTTGGACTGCTGTATTTAAATTATCCAGTTGCTGACAATACTTCTCCGAATAATGGCAATTACATTATTTAATAAAGTTTATTGACGGTAATAAAAATTTGTATTTTGTTTTATTCCAAAAAAGGACAGAACTTTCCGGTAGACCTAATATATATATTATTTTCTGATTATATATATCTGTAGATTTTATGGATGCATTATTTTTTAATAACGCAACGTGCTCAAAAGCGCCATTATTTTTCATTAATTCATAAGGATATTATTTTATCAAAAACAAGATATAAACATCGGCACTAAGAATACATGTGACATAATGATTGTCGTAAATGTTTAGCAGTTATCGGCGTTGATTCGAGAAGAATTCGAAGATTATTGGGGCTTAGGAAATAAACAGTTGAAATAAAAAAAATGCCCAATATTTTTGACGCTGATACGAATAGTTGCCGTCCATTGGAAGAATGTTCCCTTAACGTTAACCACGGATTTGTACTATAATCTTGTTAAAGCTTGATGTCACATATATTTCCGATTTAGAACAAAACTTGTTCTCTGACCATTTAGAATCGAGATTCTAATCACAAAGATATCGAAAACGTTCAGTTTGTATATTGATAACACACACACGGCGTTTTTATTTCAAATGAAATTTTTAAACAGGAATATTCTATTGAAAAATTTTTTAGCATTATCAAACGTCGCATTCTTTTTACATACATTTTCTTATTTATCGCGAAACGTCGTCCATTCTCGGTAGAGAGGAGTAAAGCCTATTTCGCGAGATTCCATCTCGCAACAAGGGAGAGGGGAAGGAAGAACGAGTGTCTCACCCGCGACAGCATTTTATTTGGCTGCAAAACGAGACACGAAATGCGGACGAGAGGGAAAATAAGGTTTTCCCAATCTCGATTAAATTTCTTGACGGAGCTTTAGTGGCATCCCAGGGGAGAGGATGCTGGCCGCGAAGTTATACGCGTACGTTGGTGGGGAGTAATTTAAGCTGGTTGCGCTATATAAGTTCGCTATGTGTGAGATTTAAGCTCAACGAACACACACTCTAGTAACGCCGCGAACACCACATTACGAATTACGGCGGCTCCGCCGCAGTAAGTCGGCCGGTAGATGAAAATGCCGTAACGTTTAAGGAGGTACTTGGCGACGCTCATCATTCCCCCAAAGTTAATAACATTCCAGTAAAGAGGTGAAGTCAGGTGTGGATCAGATAAGGGCGATACGATGATAAAGATGGCAATAATATTAGTTAAAACTTTTAGTACTTCGCCCGTCTATCGGTTTCGACGTTCGGCAGTTTAGTGGGATTTAAAAAAAAAAAAAGAAAGATAAGAAAAGAGAGCTTCAGCCATTTATTATGTAAATCGCGAACGATCACTTGTGGGAAAAATTCTTTCGATGACGATCAAATGAGAATCAAGGCTCAAACCAAGTATCGTAATATGTTGCTTCATTGGTGAAAGTAAAGAGATAAAATGACTGAATGTTCTCTTGTAAGGGAATGAAAGCAGTCTTAATAAACATTATTTTATGCCATAAGACTAACATAAAATCACATAATCTACCCTTAAAACTCATTACTTGACAAATATCTTCTCTCGTCTTGTATTCAGATTGACTCACAGTTTGTTTTAAGACAAAAAAGTCCGTAACGCTGCCACCAATTTACTTAATTTCAAACTTACATATCGCACAAAATTTGATAATTAATTATGTATTTTTCCCTTGAACATATCTTCTTGCCAATAACTGCTCTTCTTCGTCAAAGTATTGAATATACCCTGAAAAAAACAGTACACGGTACGTTATTGTCTCTATAATTTCGACACAAAGATGGCTAACGAGAGGCATCTGCGCGTATCCGGATTTAATTAAAAGTCTACGAGAGCTTATATACATCATATTGACGCAGAGAACGCGAACGATTTACGACGAAAGATACGGGATTAACGCAAAAACGCTCTCCGAGTTCGACTCGATCGCCCCTGAAGTTTTCGCGTATTTCGTGTAATCGGTCGGTGAATATTGTCGTACCAATTATTTTGGAAAACGACGCCATTCTTCAGTCCAGTTGGGTAATTCGTTACGTACCGCGCGGCGACGCGTTTGCTTTGCTATGTCGCGTTTTCTCGGAACAGACATTGTGTTTCAGGGACTGCGATTTATTTAGTGGCGTTTCATTGAAGGACACTCGCTCGCGAGTTGACACTGGTATTCGCTTCACGAGAATGCGCTTTCTCCGTCCATATACGCACGTGCGGCTGCGATCGCGAATATCAGAGAGATTCGCGTTCGATGATACCTGCATCTCGGAAAAAAACTTCTTTCGATAATCGTAATTCGTTTTTCGAATGACGTGCCTAAATCTTCGTCAACTTTTTTATCCCGAATTTTTCTTCTGTATGAAAGTTTTTTCTGATGTGTTCGCATATTCGCAATTTTACGGTTTATAACAGAGAGAGCAGCACGTGATTATCATAAATAATAAAGAAAAATTTTATTGATAATATGTATTAAATTACGATAGAAGATTAATTTATCTTTGCTATTAAAATAACATACACAATTGATTTTAATGATAAATAATAATTTTTAAAAGGACCAATAACTTCATCTGTGTGTGTTTCTTATAAAACTGAGTAAATATGTAAATTACGATAGCATTACTTTACAAGGAGAAGAATTATCTTTAACTTCCCTAAACAAAATAATGCATTACATAATTCCAGATTTTATTTACATCTAGTTACACAAAAAAAAAATACCGATAATATTTATCAGATTTATCGTGTTGAAAAAATTTATTGTATCCTGAGAAATATATTATTTCTAAATTATTGACTTTGATTATTGCTGATCATGTATCTGAGCACATATCTTTGTCATGCTTTACATTAAAAAATTTATTCTGTTTGTACATATGCATATCTTAATAATTAACAATAAGATGCACATGTGACGCGCGTACTTGTGTAAAATGGAATGTTAAAACGTATATCGCTTTTAACCTATATCTCCATATCGTTTACTTGATATTCAAACTTATCAAACGCCAGCCATGCACAAGCGTATACAAATAATATGTATATCCTAATCATATGATCCTTTTAAAATGCAAAATTTAGGATATATAATTATAATCGAGAATATAACCAAACACATATATATTGTATAACTGATGATCTTACTTTGTGTATATAAGAGAAAAAGGAAAAATAGACAAGTAATAAATCATAAACGTATTTAAAAGATATTACGCGAGTATATTGAACATCAACATATATCGAATCGATGCTTCGATCTTAGAAATGTAATGGAGTCATATATTGTGATTGGCAAACAATAAAAATGATCGCGTTACAAATCAAATATTTTTATTCGCATATCGCGAAGGAGAAGGTATAAAAATATAAGAAGGTGCCTCGCATGATATGAAACAATATCATTTTCGGAATTGACGATCTTTGTGGACTCTAAGTTCAACAATATTTCTTCGAAAGAAATATTATATATATTTCCCTATTGTGACTCTATTATTCTATCCGGTGAGTTATTCCTCTGGTACTCATCAACTTTTTTTATTGTAATAATAATTTTAAAAAGACTTGAACAAATTTTTATTGTAAACTTTTGGAGATAGAAAATAGAATATAGAAAATAGCGACATTCATTAATCTGATAAAGTACGATTAAAACAGTAGATTTTGATATATAAACACATGTTTTGAATAGTAATTTTTGAAAATATTCGAATTGACTACAAAATTTATATTGGATATTTATCAGGGAATTTTGTTACTATTTATTCTAGTAAAAAATAACATTTTTATGCAGTTCTACTCTGATTATTTTGGAGAACGAGGCAAAAAAGAGGACAATTAAGATAAAATTGTTAAACAAGAAAAAATTTTAGTCATTTAGTATAGTTTTATATGTCTTATTTTTTATTTTGATATAAATGATGATTTGAACAAAAACATTGTGAATTGAAATTTTAATATATAATAATGGTATAACCGGCAAAAATATTTTTTATATCAACTAAATCGCTAAAATGAAAAATGTAATGTCCATATTATTACTTTTGTGAATTAGATTTTTTTTGTATATTGGTGGATTCAGATACAATTATTAATCTAAATAAAATTATATTACGGAATGTGGACAAATTATTCTGTAAAATGACAAAATAATTAAATTTTGAAAATGATTTTAGTATGTCAAGAGAGAGACAAATTTTATACAAAAAATTATACTAAATATTTTGTTTTTGCTGGTATAAAATTTCTTGCTCTTGTTCCGCCACCTGTGTTTCAAGATTTCACACACATATACACCCATACATATGTATAATTTGTCTTATACATATATATGAC